GAAAGTGTGCCTGTGGTGGGGAATTCAAAAGGAGATGTTAAATTAGGATTGCCAGTCTCTAAAACAGTCTCTAAAACTGGCAATCCTAATTTAAGTTTTAAATCTCTAGAATTCTTAATCAGCTCATCTGTTACCCATCATTAGGCTATTGCTGGTTCCTGTCCTACAGGGAAACTCTGAGGTAAGAAATAAAATCTGGTTTCTGCCCTAACGGTTTTTAAATCTCAAAATGAGATCTAAAAAACAACTCTGTTGGTTTCTGAATCATGTCCATGAATGTAAATGCTTTTAAGAAACATTTACTAGTAAAGATTTACCAAGACAGTAGCCAAAGGAAGAACAGTGCTGCATGTGACATGAGAGGTGTGTGCAAAACGCTGTGTGATGACTGTCCCTCTTAGTGCTGGCTCAGACAGGCTGGGTACTGAACTCAAAGTACAAGCGTATTATTCGTGAGTCCTCCCAATGACACTCTGAGGAATAAGGATCCCCACTGCAGAGTTCAGGTGACTGAGGCTAAGGGAAGTTAATGAACTTTAAAGCGGCACAGCCAGGATTCAAACTAGGATCTTCCCAACTCAAAGAGGGAAGACTCCCACTATTCTGTAGACAGTTTAGTACTATATGAGTGACAACACTTAATTTCAGGGAAGGAAACAAAAATCCATAATCTCAGAAGCTTTAAATAAGACAAAGAACATAAATAACATGATAGAAAGTTACTGCAGAGATACCAAAATAACACAATGCACTGAATTCTAATGAAGGAAAAAATGGCAAAAATGAGTATGGCATTTCTGATGCGACTAGGTAGTTTATTTTTATTTTTTCTTTCCTTCTTTTAAAAAAAAATTTAACAAACTCTGCATGTGGCATTCAATTTACTTCTAAAGTGAAATAGGCCAGACATGGTTCGCGCCTGTAATCCCAGTGCGATCCCACTTTGGGAGGCCACAGAAACCCCATCTCTACAAAAAAGTAAAAACAAGTAGCCTGGCATGGTGGCACACACCTGTAGTCCCAGCTACTCAGGAGGCTGAGGCAAGAGGATCACTTGAGTGTAGGAATTGGAGGCTGCAGTGAGCTACGATCGCACCACTGCCCTTGAGCTTGGGTGACAGAGCAAGACTCTGTTTCTAAAAATAATAATAATAAAAGTAAAATACTTGGTTTTATGCTCAGCATTCGGTATAACTCATTAAAACATATTTCCTATATCTCTGTGTTCCTCGAAAGGAAAAGTGAAGCCTGTCCAATAGGACTTCTGGGGAGATTACACTTCTGTCAAACAACTTGAAAAGTATCAGGATTATCTTTATTACCTGCAGAGAGGAAAAAGTCCCAAAAGCAGTCACGTTTCCAGATTTAGCAAATGAAACAGAAAGAACATCTGTTTCACAATAGTTTGGACAAGAAAAGACTTCAGTTGTAATGTACTAGAGGTTTTATCAAAATCTTTCCCCATCTGGTCTCTGAATTCATTTGGGTACATACAAGAATTATCAAACTGGCTATTGTCACTGGACCTGGTGAAGTCAATCTTTTAATATTTACTACGTAATTAAGGTAAAAATATGAGAACAGGAATGTAAAATCAAATACAGAATAAATTGAAATAAGTTCCATTGTACTATACAAACAAACCATCCTTTCCTTTTCTCTGGCATGGGCCATGTGACCAGGAAGACAGTATAGAGCACTCCCCACTATTCAAAGCCTCCGAGTTTACGACACAAGTCAGAAAGAATGGCACTTACCATGTGCAAAACGTCTGTCCTCCCTGTGCCAAGTGAAGTCCTAGGATAGTGTTTTTGGAGGGACAAAAGGAGAAAACGGGAAAGCCTTCACAGATCTAAATGATTTATATAAGTGTAAAATGGAGTGCTTTTACTCCATTGAATGCTTGAATGCTTTTTTATAAAAATTACAGATAACTTTAAAGGCTCACCACTCCCACCAAGAATGACTACTTTGCAGAATCAGATTCAGGTTTAAAACCGCTTGAAGAAACCCTACTGTCTGGAAGACTGAAACTGCCAAAAGTCAGATTCAGTAGCATTTATTCATTTGATATTTGCACCATAACAATTTACTGAACACCAACTGTGTGCAGAGTACTATACTAGACCCTGAGTGTATCAAGCAGTGGACGAGACAAACCCTATCTCTATGCAGGGCTTATACCGATGCTCACTGGCATTCAAAAGTGGCTCAACAAAGCAGATGCCAGACGGTGTCCAATACATATCAGGTAGCTTGATTGCATTATTGTAATGCAAAGAAGCCCTACAGGCAACATGTGAAGGTAAGAACAAAACATGCAGAGAAAGAACATTATATAAATCTAAGAATCCTCACATCTTTTTTTAGGCCCAAATACCAGTGCTTCCTATCTTTGGGGCAGAGCTTAAACATCTAATAGTAGGCACCAGAAGCAATGTAATATATCATTCATGAAAATAAAGACTGCTTTGTAGGGGGATGAAGCAGTAAGAGATTGTGTTAAATGAGGTCTGAAAGCAAAACAGTGAAGAAGCATTATAATTGCCTATATCAGATGCCAGTCTCTTCAAAAGGCAAGAGGCAAGGCCTTTACTCAGGATAGCAAAAGCAAACCTGATTTAACTAGGTACAATGTCTAATGTCTCTTACTCTGAACAGGTTTTATTGCCATACTCCAATAAAATGTTCGTGCATTCACTAAAATATATTTTCACTTTCAAAAACCTTCTTTTACAAAAAGGCAAAGCAAAACCAAAGCCCAAGCACCGGGCTGTGATAGAGATGATTTAAGCTTTACATTTCACTTTTAGAGATGATGTAACCACAGCACGCACATTCACAGTGGCTGAGCCCATTTGGATACAGTCTAGTCTAACCACCTTTCCTGGCCCTCTTTCTGCTATCTTGCAGGTTTACATGGTTTCAGTGACTCCATGTCACCTCTACCATTTCTTTTCTAACTATTATTTGCTAAATAATCCTAAACCAGGTCTACTTTTTCTAGATAGGGCATAAAAGTAAAAACACAACGGATGGGCATTCACTGCGTTGTGCCAGGGCCCGCATTTGGTGAAAGACACTAAGGACACCAAGATAAACCAAGTCCACCCCTCCTGGAGTTTGCTTGCAAATCTAGCAGGGAAGACAGTAAACAAGCAACTGCAGAGGATATGACAGATCTCTCTTAGGGAATGCTGGCTGCAGAAAGAACACAGTATAGGAAGATTGAACCTTGAACTGTTTTAATGAAAACAGAAGTTTAAGTAGTAGCTCTTACTTCTAATCAAATGTGATGGCGGGAGAAAGGGAATGCAGACGTGTGGCAGACACTAGCTATGAAGGTCAGCATTGCTGTGCAGAAAGTGAATCGGTGCTAAAGACAGGGAGGGGTGGGGGCACTCAGGACCCAACACGTGCTGGGGTTTGTTAGCCGTATTAAGTGCTGGGTTTAACCTAAGGGCAAAGGACCAGCTTTCTAGACTTTCATTTCATAAAGATCCCTCTGTGCTGTGAAAAGTGGAGTACAAAGAAGCAGGCGGGTCTGGAGGTGGAGAGACCAGGGAAGAGGCTGCTGTGGAGATGGAGAGACGTGGACAGATCTGGCAGATGTTTACAAGGTCGACAAGGCTTGGTGACTAAGCGGGAAAAGAAGTAGGTGGGCGAGAGGGGGCCGAGAAGGATGTTTTCCGGTTTCCTGCTTGGGTGCCACTTACTGAGAATGGGGGAAAGACGCAGGTGCAGGGCACACCCACTGAAAACAACAGCGCCGAGCATGAGCAGGGCTCGCTCACTCCTCACGGCCTGGGATTTCAAGGCGACGCCAATCAGCTGTGGCCACGGAGACACAGCCACAGGGATGAGCTGTGAGCACTCACGAAACTCTGCAGGGCCGAAAAGGAATTGGACTTTAAACCCTGCGACTAGCTCTCTGGAAGAGCTAAACCACACAGTCAACCCGGGATAGTCCAGGCCCCAGGCATGGAAGGCAGCAGAGACCGAAGCCTCGCCCAAAGTTGGAAGGATCAGCCCCGAGGGCGAGTCCCTCACAGTCA